TGGGGCCACATATGTGTGGCCGCTGGCTTGGCTAACCGCATGGGTCAGAGTTAATTTTCTTATTGTATTAGTGTTGCTCGCTCTCTTTCTGAGACGATACCGCTGCCTTCTCTCTCTCTCTCTCTCTCTCTCTCTCTCTCTGCCTATCGCTCTGCAGTTTGTTCGGCATATAATGATGCTACTTGATTGAAAATGAACGTGACTGGAAAACAAGTTTTGGGTTCTTTTTTTGTATTTCTTTAGATTTATTTTGCTGCGCGCTGCTGCCGCTGCTGCTGCTGTGCTGCTGTTGTTGTTTCCTTTTCTCATTGGCAGCTGCCTTGAATGAAAATACAAAAAATAGTAAAATAAATTAGCCAAGAAACTTTGACATTGCCATAAAGTTGAGCGACATGTTTTGCTGTGTGTTTACAGCACAAAATCCAATCCCAGTTTCCAGTTACTGTTCGGATGAAAGGCTCACAGCGAAATTGCATTTAATATTATTTAATTAAAGTGGGCGCATTGCTCGAATTCCAGATGAGAAGCGAGCATAGCGTTTGGCTCCTCAGTAGCCAGCGCCACGTTTTCTAACAGAATTATGTGCGCATTTCCGTTTCCGGTGCACACACCAGTGCACCACAGAATGCTCGCGTAAACAAAATGGCGATTCGATTTATAAAGCAGCCAACGGCACAGTGGGGCAATATGACAAAACATGCAGGTGAGAAAGTAAACCAGGGGCGTTTAAAGTATTTTACGCCACGGCATAGTCCATACCAAAAGCCAATATTACAGAGCGGTTTGCCTAAGCAAGTATATAATAGAGAGACTATAGTTATTAATCTTAAATTAAAACTAATTAAAGACCAAAGGGAGCCTTACATTTCAGTCATTTGACTTTAGGTCTTTCTGTTGCGTAGATCTAATATAAGAGCTTACCATTCGTAGCTCAAAAGGAGACTAAACTAAACTGTGAATACTATAAGATTTCATTAAAGACAGAAAATAGTGTTCTATGTAGAGCCTCAGTTTTTCAATGCCTGTTCCACTATGCAGCTACTCGACAAAAACGGCTGTGCATTTATTAAGTCGTGGGTGGATGGGCGTGGCTGTCTTGTTGCAGTTATTTGTTGGCAATTTGGTGCCGCGTTGCCAAGGCAAACAATGCGCAACATCCGAGAAGATTGGTGGCCAACCCCTGCAGCAGCAGCAGCAGCAGCAGCCTCATTTAAAGCATCGTCATTAAAATGACAAAAGTAATTTACTTTAAAGCTGTACGCAATTTAAAATATGCATGCGCTGCTCACTGCTCACTGCTGACTGCTGACTGTGCTGACTGTGGCACACACTCTCGTGACATTTAGTGTTGCACAGTGACCCAGAAATCAGGCTGAGCCCCTTGGGCTGCCATCAGTCAGTCCAGCAGTCTATCAGTCAGTCAGTCAGCCAGTTAGTCAGTCAGGGAACTAATTTCCACAAAAATCCATTCGATGTGGCATAATTTCAGTCGAGTGTCTTTCGAGAGTGCCCTGAACAGCCGCAGCTGCATATTGTGTGTGGGGGGTGGCGAAGGGGGCATTAGGCCAGGGTAAGGCACTCTTCAGACTTTGTTCTGCAGACTTTTTGGCAAATTTCGTTGGCTGACAGAAAGTGTCACAAATACTTAAGCTGAACTGCGCGACAAGCGGGCGCACTTGAATGCATTCACAGCTCAGATGCTGCTCAAGTGGGCGTTGAGGTTGTCTCAAATTTAAGAGCTTAGCGTGTTTTACAACCTGACCGTAACTTTTACAACTTAGTTGTAAAGTCTGTACCATAAGTATGGCTTAGATATGTAAGACTGACATGCACAAAGTTGGTTGATACAGCAAGACTCGTATAAAGATACGCTGTAAATATTGAAGATGGCTAAAAAGAATTGTAAAAGTAGTAGGAAAAGTATTTACAAATTTCATAGAAACTGATATGTCACTGCGAGTAGTTTCAGATTTACTATCTCTCTTGAAAAGTCTCAAAGTAAATGCAAATTTTTGCTGGACACGGTATTTCTTAGTCGGAGAATCTTCACTGTTCCAAAACTTTGTTTGGTTTCTTGTTTAGGGTTTACATTTTCACAAAATCATGAATTGGAAATCCCTCTCGACGACACGAAAGCGACTTGTCAGGCGTGAAGAGCAAATAACTGTCAGTTTAGCTGGGGGATGAGGGCGAGAGAATTGCCTGCTGCGCCACCTGGCGGTCGAAACAAATATAACTAACTGACAGCTGTCAGGCACAAGCAAAGCAATTGGGGCGAAGTGACCAGCGCTTCGAGGGAGTGGGCGAGTGTGAGAATAATGGGGGCGGCGGAAGGGCGAAGCAGAGCAAACATAAATTCTGATTTGCGCGCATGTCAAAGCGCAAAGGTCAAACATAATTTTTCAATCAAAGTCAACGTGGCAAAGGGGATCCGAACCGAAATGGATTTGTGCAAAATTATGCGCTTTAAGTGAAAAATCACAGCACTTAGTTGTCGTGGAAATTGCCATAATGTGGCATTGTTGTTGTTTGTTGGTTGTTGCTTGTTGTTGCCTTGGTCGCTTTGTTGGTGTTGCAGTTCGCACCATAATTGCAATAATTGAGTTGTTGCTGCTCTGCGCTATTAATAAATCAGCACAGCGCACTTTAAATTGTGATTAAAAAAATATATTGGCCAAGTTGGACAGCTGGGAGACGGGCGTGGCATGGTTGATGGTAGGTGGGCGTGGATGGGAAAAGCAAACGTGGGGTTAGCAACTTTTCCAATTAAAAGCGAGCGAATGGCCATAAAAAGTGCAGCAAATGTCAGCGCTAAACTTTGCACTAAGCTCGGAGATTTTTCGCTGAAATTCGATTCAATTTCGGCTGCCAGAGAAAGAAAATGAAAATACAGAAAGATAGCGAGCGAGAGAGAAAGAGAGATAGATAGAGGATTTCCTTTGTCAAACTTTAAATGCTGCTGCAATCAGAGCCGCCGGGCGATATATTCATGTGCTTAGCCATAGAACGGAATCAAGTTTATTGCCAAATCGAAAATAAATATAAATGATAATCCGGTTAATATCGGATGCTAGCATTAGTTCTGGCCTGGAGTTTTCTTAGAGGCTGGAAAGTTTCAGAAGCGGGAAATATATTTATGACTTGTTGAAATTTTATGAATATATGAATACATAGTTTCAATACAAATTAAAGGCAATACAAGAAGATTAGCCAAAAAGTTTGAACATTTAATGAACATCAATTCAATGGACATTTATTTTCTTCGGCAATTAAATTCCACACAATAGTAAAAGGCCGTCTCAGAGTCACAATCAAATTTTAACTTCCTTCGCATCTAATGCTGAAGCTGATAAGCTTGTGCCACATAAAAAGATTATTGCATAGATATCGTCGCGCTGGGCCGACTGATTTTTTAATTAAGCTGAACGACTTTAGCGTCCACGTGGCGTATGCGTAATGCGTGATGTGACAAGTGCTGCTAATTAAAAGTTGTGTTTACTTTGTCGCCCCGAAACTCTTATCAGTTTATCAGAGCGAGAGAGGGACAGCGGATCGCGACGGCCCCTTAATGCTAGCTCATTAGGCATATCAATTGCCTCGCCGTAGGCTTTGCCTTTGCCTTTGGCGTTGCCTTGGCCATGTTTGATAGCTGCGTCCGAAATTTTCAAATTGCTGGGCTATTGATAATTTTCACTTGGGTTTTTGTATTGCTATTTTGATTGACAGGTGGGTGGCCAAGGTGAGTGGCTTTTGTTTTCAGCCCACTTGTTTAAATATGTATTGTATATTTAATTTATGTATTTCGGCAAAGTAAACACAGTTTCTTGACCGTGACATCTTTTCAACTGTCGTGCTTGTGTTTCTTTGGGTGACTGAACCTAGGTAAAAGCGTGTATGTTGTGTGTGTGTGTGTTTTTTTTTTTCTGTTTCCTACTGTTTAAAAAACAGCTCGGCTCACTTTCAAATTTGCTTTCTACTTGAAGGTTCTTGAACATGACTTATTTCTGTTCTAGAAATAGGTCGACTGAGACTATCTGAAACATTTGGGCGCAATTTAGCGATTTACGAGCCAGATAATTAAATGTTCCATTTCCAAGAGTTCCAAGAACTAATAATTTAGCTGTAGAGATTTGTAAAGAAAATAAGTTTCAGTTGCCCTTTATATTAATGTACTTCGTCTGCACTGTTTTTTTTTTTTTTATTGTTTTTATGTATTAATTATCCAATGAGTCAATTAGACACATATATAGGGTTGCTGACTTTTGCTCCAGTTAAAGATGGTATTTGAGGTAATCTATTATCACCCGCAACTTTTCTTATAAAGTATCGGCCAATTACTAATACACTGTGAGTGCATTGACACACATTTTAAAGGTATTAAAAAAAATAATAAATAAATAAATTGCCTTCCAGTTTTTCTGGCTTTTGAGGTTAGCGTGTGAATTTAATTTGTGCATAATTGCAGCAACTGCGACTGCAACTGCTGCAGCCATAAAATGTCAATATCAGAGAGTAATCAGCAGCAGCAACAACAACAACTGCGAATGCTGAGCGTTGAATGTTGAATGTTGAATGTTGAATGTGCCTGCTTTTTGCCCGCCTTGGCAATTTATGGGGCTTTTGGGGAAGTGTTTGTGCGACTGACACAATGACAGCGACCGATTGACAGACTGCCCGACTGGCCCAGAGCGGGGGAGCGACGGCGAGAGCGAGAGCGCTGAGAAAAGTAAACCAATTTACAAATTAAGTTTTTTTGCGTCAAACGACAACGCATTTGACGTCTTGTGTGGTTACTTAAGCACTCACAGCTGATACGGACTGAGCTCCAAGACCGGCTACACTTGGAGAAAAAGTGTGTAAATTCACGATCTGTAATTGTGAATGCCCAATATATCATAAAACTATAAGTAATCGAAAGTCTTTATCTTTATCAGCTCATGCACGTTTCTTTATCAGTTTTACAATGCTCTTATCTATATACTTTTTCCTTCTCTTTTCAGCATGATGTACTTTCCAATTGTAAAACTGTCAAGTGAATGGAAGCGCCATAAGGAAATGTCCACGCGAAACAATTTTCAGCTAATGCCAATGGTCAGCTCAATCAAATAAATGTCCTATTGAGAACATTTTCGAGATACTAACAAAAAATACGAACTGCAAATAGAAGTAATCTGACAAAACTAGAAAACGAAAAATCGAACAACTTGCCTGGAGCCACAGGTAACTTTTTGTTTGTTCACTGTGACGCTGTGCGCGAAAAGCCGTCAAAATTACGACGTATCACCCACCCACGCCCAAAGTCAAACAGAACCCGGCCAACATGGACAGCACGTCCGGGCCGGGTGCGTTTGACGATGAGCCGCCGCCGGAGCCACGGGATGGCTGGCTACTGGTGCGCATCCACGTGCCGGAGCTGAATGTCTACAAGTGTCTGCAGTTCCCATCGGAGCGACTCGTCTGGGATGTCAAGCAGCAGGTGTTGGCCTCTTTACCAAAGGTGAGTTCGAACTTCAGTTGCTCCCCTCATATTATATAGACAAGCAGATCAACCCGCATGCGACGCATCAAGCATGACGCCAGAAAGTCGTGTAAATAGAAAGTTGTAAAAGAAACCGCCCTAAAACCCAGTCGAAGTATTTCCGAGAGTTCCCGAATAAGTATTTTGTACATTTGCCAGAAGAATCAACCAGTAGCCTTGCTGTCTTGTAATATATTGATTCCCGAGCGTAACAGTGTATGACAACAATGAAGTCTATTGTTTAGTAACTCAATTATCTATCTGTTTTACTTCTGATAGTTAACTGTCTGTAAGTTCACACGCTTAATTTGTATTACATCAAAACCATACCAGAAAGGAACCCGCTCAAACGGAAGAATTTAGTTATTCACTTTTCAGATATACGTATGGGGTAGCTCATCATCGTAGGCATAGCGCAGTTCCGAGAAGTACGAATAGATTATAATCCATGAATAGATTAACAGAACTGCGTAAAGTGAGTCGGAATTAGTACTACCTGAATTGGAAGGACTTTGCTTCGTGCGCTTACCTATTGTGATAATAAAGAGGGCAATTATGACCCAGACAAAGTTGTAGATAATCATGGCCAGTACGTGGACAAAAATATAGATCGGAGTTAGCACCAGAAATGGTACGAATAGCAGCTCGTTATTCTGTGAAAGTCGGATTTAAATAGTAGAGGAATTATATAGCTGTGCCTTTCCCAATCGTATACTCACATTGTGCACGCCCATGCAGACCATTGCGGATGCAATGATACCGAAGAACGAAAAGACCATGGTAGTCTTTGGTGCTGCCGGGGGACCTATTGTCTCCCGCTGGTATTCGTTGGGGAAGATGCACTCCATCATGAAGGCACTGCCCAGGCATAGATAGACGAACCAGGTCAGGAATATGCAGCCCAGTAGCAGCGTGCCTGTGCGCAGCGAGAAGCAGAAGCAGCATTTGTTCAGTATCTTGATGAAGTACTTGCAGCGACAAGCCATGGTGGTTACAATTGAATTGCGAACTAATTAGTGTATTATCTCGGGCTCTCTCGGTCGACGCTTAATTTTGAAATAAACTTGGAATATTTGGATGAAAATCCAAGTATTATCTTTTAGTAAATACACACAGTTAACGCCTGTGTTTCTTTTCTCAAATGAAAATGCTCATGTTCTGAATGTTACTACAACTTGTAAACAGCCAACTGTATACATTAAAGTAACAAAAGTCTTTCGTACTCGTTTTATGTCATTGACAATCTTACATAAAAATGTAAAAAATGTTTGGAAAAATATCGACAAATTTATAGTCCTTCGTTTTTCATGTAAGTGTAGTTGGAGTACACAACCATAATAGAAATAGCTAAAATTACTGATAATGGGCTAAATATAATAAGATAATAGATAATAAGGTAATAGAACGACTTACTTATTATAGCCAGTTGGATTAGTATGCCCGTCAGTATATATTTATAAGCGACCAAATCGATAATGAACATTGCCATGTATAATATGAAAATGAACGCAGAAATGACTACCCAGAAAAGAAAGGCACATCGCTTTTGCTGACATTAGTCGGTTATTGTAAAGCATATCTTACGAATATTATAGGTAAAAAGACACGCCTTACCTTGTAGACCCCAAAGATCAAAATAATGCAGGAGATAATGCCGACCGTTAAAATAGCCGACTGCACATAATCCCAAATATCGGCTTTCGAGTCTACAGGGTATAGAGCATAAATTAACATGCTATATATAGATATATACGTAGGGGGAGGATCAGATACACTTACAGATAAAAATGCCTTTTTGACCGAGGAAAGCCATTTCGCAGAAGAAAAAACAGATGAAGAATATTCCGATACCCAAGCTACAAGTGGGCAAGGGCACGCAGAAGCAACAGGTCTTAGTGGTCATTTTCCGATTTGGATGAACATATGAAAATTTTAAGATTACTGATTTTGAAAGTGCCTAAAGTTTTCTGACTCTGAATGCTGAGCAAAGTTGAGTAAAATATGATAACGGATTGAAAATGGAAACATCAATGGTAAACCAGTACAAAAAAATATGATAGAACGACAACCCATAAATATGTGTAAATAACTGCCATGGAAATGATTCATTTGATCAAATTATGTTAAATTAGGCATCTAGTTCGTTTACTCACCCAGTGCAAATACCAACAAAAGTATGATAAAGAAAGGTCCAACGAAGCTAATAAACAAAACCAATGTGACGAGCATAGCAACGATGTGGGTACAAGCGAAAAATAGCCAGGGAATTACGAAAAAACATATTTTTCTGCAGGTGGAAATTGAGAAAGAAGTTAAAAAACAAATATTGTTAGATTTACAAATCATATACACAGGAATGTAGATGCCGATATCAATACATCTAATCTATAAAACAACGAAAATGGCAGAAAGTAATAACAGTTATTGTCATGGGCAGTTTTAAACAAACATTTACACAAAAAGCAGCGAGTCTTTAAATAACATATATACTGATACTCAGCTGTATACACAGAAGCTTCAATTACAAGAAACTTGTAAATATTTACAGAGATATTGGGGCACAATCAGAAGCAGAAGCAGATACAGATAAAAAATAACAGATACAAATAATAAAGAAAAACAGATAAGAGCAAGAATGCAACTACAATATGGATTATATTTCTTACAATTAACACGCCAACGAGAAAGAGGATAGCGCTCGATACAAAAATTGAAGATACTATGAGCACACGCAACTGTACTTCCCTGTCCAGATATGGGTTGAATAACGCTTCTATGAGTTAAACAGACGAGAGTTGAAGGTCCTGTCGCATCTGTGCTTAAAGGACATGGCGAACGCTTACCTGACACCTTGTTGTTTAAAAAGAGCGCCATGAGTATCAGAGTGGAGCCGTACATTAATATCATGGTCACGGCTATTATGATGCAGCCGATGCGCAGTTTAATGCAGCACAAAAATTTTTTCAGCATTTTGTTGATAATTTATTGCCACAAATTCTCTGATTGCTTAGATATAAAGGACTCGACATATGTATTATCTAAATGCCTGCTATTTATATATCTCAGAGTTAAATTAAAATATTATCCGCGCCACACTCGATTAGAACTCTCACCTTTTGAAAGTCTATGGCAAATGCATTTTCCACTCAATTAATTTGAGCTCGCTTTGTATATAGCTCAACTTTCTTCTGAATTATGAAGCTCAGCTCTCAGTTGCCACGTGCGCCAGTTGCCAGTTGCCAGTTGCCAATTGCCACGCCCATGGCCGTGGCCGAGGCCCAGGCTGGCGCGAATTTCAATTGAAGTTCAATGCAAAACCAATTCCGAGTGCGCGCGAGACAGCCAAAAGGCAGCAAGTCGTGACGATCAGCGATCGAGCCGCGCAGATATTGACAATTGAATGACAGTCTGTCCCAAAACAAAAGCAAAAACAAAATCGAAAAACAAAGAAAAAAGAAAATCTAGTCTAGTCAATCAAAATGAAACCAGTTTGGAAAAGGGTCCAGGAACAAACCTGCTGCAGTTGCTATATTTTTGTTGTGGAGCTTTTTTCGTCAGTGATTTGCAATTAACTTGACACAATGGCCAATCAATTGGCGAACTTTGAATAGTTTAATAACAATTTGTTTAACAAATTGTGGCCAAAACATTGTCGACCCGCCGCCTGCCTGTCGGCTGGGACCGCTCCGCACCCAATTCCACTTCGACGTCAACAACGACTAACACATTGAGCCAACACGTTGGCTGAACAAACGACCTCCAGCTAATTGCATGGACCGGGTTCACTCAATAAAACAGCGACAAGAGCAACAAGAACGACAACGACAGCTTTTGACAGACACAATTCGAGGCGGGCGTTGCATTTATTTGTGTTTGAGGGGGGTGCGGGGGTTTCGTTTATCTCTTTTTTTTTTGGGTGTCTGTGTCAAGTGCATTGCAGAGCTGAGCTGAGAGCCAAACGCTAGTTTAGCATAACGGCATGTGGGTGTCCAGCCGCACATATGAGACGCGTGAGTGTCGTGAGCGTGGCTCAAGTCATGACATGGCCGAAATACTGGCTGTAGAGCGAACGTGAGATTGGCAAGTTGTCGAATTGGAACTTTTCACTTGTAGCCTCATTTAGTTGCCAACAGTTTTGCGACATGGGAAGGTCAATAGCCGCTTAACACATATGTATGAATCAATGCCTTGGAATTTCTCCGAGACATTTATAAGCCCAGAAAGATAAGTCGATTTATGAATCAGATAAGATTCTTGATACTTGACATCATAGCTGCAGATAAAGTGGTGAAGCGAAAACCCTGTCGAGTCAAACTCGCAAATTTAGTTCAGAAATTATGTAAAATTATGATGTCTAGCGATAACTGGTTGGCAAATCGGCGAAAATTATGCAAACTTCAGTTATAACTAAAAGAAACATTTACGCTCGAAAATGTATTAATGTCTTTCGTTCCTTAAGCGAGCTTTAAATCACATTAAATGTAATTGGCGTCGCGTGTGTTTCAACATTTCACAATCGACTCATGATGGATTTGAATTAAATACTTCCGCCTAGGGCGCCGCTTCTCTCTCCCTCTCCCTCCCTCTCTTTGTGCACATAAAAGTATTTATATATACTTGTTAGACGTGAGTATCTTATCGCCTTTGTTGGCCGAGGCACTTACAACTGCCATAAACAAGAATTCATAATGCTCGCACGCAATTTGCAGAGTTATTTATTGAATGTGTGCTTCAATTCCGAAAGTGCGAAAGGTGCTATCAACGCACAAATATTTGCAATTCACCAGCTGCCCAGCTCTGCTGAGCCCCAATTGTTTGGATAGCAGCTTTATAAGAGGCTATTTTCAAATCAAAGACAAATATCTGTTGAGCGGGCATTATTTTCACATTTTATGGGCTCGCAGAGGTCGATGAGCGTTACACTCGGCGAAAAGCTTGGCATACTGTAGAGTGTTCTGTTATGGTTGCCAAATTTGAGTCACTTTAGCTCGGATTCAATTTCTGACTTCGCCAATTCATATTGTTTCAGTGTAGCAGCTGGGCATTATCGGTCGTCCTCTTATCGTCCACTTGACTGAAAGACAGTCTTTGCGTTATCACCTGGGACTATTTGCAATCGTCGCCGTAAATTCGATGAGTAGCACAGGAATTGACTTTGACTGCGCACTTGCGTAAACTCCAATTAGGGCTCACTTCATCAATCAATCACTTAGGCAGTCAGTCGACCGATCAATGCTCTGTCTGTAAGTGCTCGACTGAGCACTACGTGTGGGCCATGCGTTCGCTCTTGGCCAGCTTTTGCGTCTGTTGATTTCCGCCTGCTAATCAAATTAATCTCCGCATGGAGGTTTATTTTTTCTCGTTCGTCCAATTTGTTTCTGTTTCGCTTTGTAGGTGGGCGGGCCGCATAGAGCTTACCGGTTTGCTCTAAGTTGTTTTGCATGTAATGCGCAGCTTTAATTGATTCCAGCCATCTGTTTTGGCCTGAACTTCGATTTGGCATCACTATGAAAACATGTGCGCTAATGTATGCAGGTAATGCGGCGAATGCTCTAAAAGGCAAGAGGTATTTGATAAACTGAGAAGGAAGTGATTTCTTAGCTAAAGCTGTGCATATTCTTATAATAAACTTTGTGTTATGCGAGAGTATAATAGAGTTTACAAATGCTCCTCACTTCCCCTCAAGTTGTCCCTGGAGAGTGAAGCGAAAGTGAGAAATGCAGCGCGCCTCGCTGGGAATTGATTGGCTCTTAAGCTTTTGAGCACTATTGAAAATGAAGCAAGAGCGAGTGGCTGACAGAGCTCTTTCAGAAGGAGGAAAGAATGGATTGAGCGAGTGCGGAGGCAGCTATACACTTACAATCAGGGCATTGTAGCTTTGCAACAAACTGTGTCGTCGAAGAAGCTATATAAATTTGACTTTATAGTACTTAACTTTGTATAGATGCCGTTCTCATGCATGTCAAGGCATTTAAAGTTGCGGATGTTGAAGTCAGAACTTTCAATCTCCTTTTCTCTTAACAAGTTTCCCTTAAATCTACAGCCATTTGGCCATTTATTTGTGCCGAATCGCATCGTTTTATGGCCAAACTTAAATCAATTTAAATGTTTGTCCCTTTCGATTGGCCCATAAATCTGTGTCTGTAATTTGGCCTGCCTATTATTATGGCATAAATAATGGCTTCCTTTGAAATAGTTGAAGAAGACTAAGCAGCCAACATGCAGATATACATATGTATGTAATTAAGACAAGGCTAATGCTTCGGCTGGCTAATGCCAGAGCTTAAATGAAAGCCACGTTGGCAGCCCAACATTTTGGCTTTTCTCAATTCTGAATTTCCAGTTGAGCGTTCGCTCGAGCGCCGACGTTTTGCATGTACCCGAACGCAGTTGCTCGTTCAAGCCCTATGCCACGCCCGCTCTCTAGAAGCTCGTTAGATTTAATGACAGCGCATAGTTTGGGCACGCACGACATCATTTTTGGCCCAGAGCTTAAGCCAGAAGCCGAAGCCAAGTGCCAGAGAGACCCCGTTTGAGATACATTTAAGTGCGACAGCACGACGCGTATGTGTGTGGGTGAATGTGTGTGAGTTTGTTCTTAGATGTGTGTGTGTGTATAGCTCTCTATTGAACCGTTAATTTGTATGTCAACTTAACTTGGCACTTGGCTGAAGCTGCCGCCTCGTCCTTAAGCTCTTTTATACCCTTGCAGAGAGGGTATCACAGTTATGTGACATGTCAATTGAAAAAGTTTTTTCATAACTTTGGCAATGCGGGCAACAAACATGTCAAAGGTGGTGGAACACATATATATTATAACAAGATAATATTTATATGGATTTTAGGTAGATGACAGTTAAATTTGTTTATAAGTCCATTAATTAATATATCCATTGTATTTTTATAGTAATTGTCAAGCATTTGAAGTGTATGCAGTATTCGAGCATTGTGGATCACTTCTCGCACTTGTTCATTATTCAAAGCGAGTTCTGCGACGTGCCTGATTTGGAGTATGGCATAGTTCTGCGTCCTTTGTCGCTGCTGTCGTCCCTCCCTCCACTTCCCGCTCGGCTTTCGCCTATTCAATTGCACAGCTTTTGTACTGAACATTCACTTACATCGCCTTGGCACAATAAAGATGGCACTGATAACCACGCCCGATTGGGGTGCCGTGGAAACTCTTTAGTTTCTGCCTCTGCTCCTAATTTCGGAGCTGTTTTTTTGTCGGCTAGATAAGAGAATATTTTTGGTTTGGCGGGGGATTGTGCTTGTCAGGCAAATGAAGTGATAAGGTTTTATAGCGCAAACATAGTTGATGATTGCCATTAGATAGAAAGAGTTCTGATTTATAAGCAGAGTGCAGTACATGCCCATAAATTGCCTCGATAAGTATGTGTGAACATAGAGAGCATAAAAGAAACATGCCTATGTTTGCAAAAGTCCAATAAATGTTGTATTTATCTTTAGTTTTTTTATCCTTCTTGAGAAATGTTCCAATTTCAGTTTCATTTGAACTTAAATCATTGTATTTTTGTGTTTTACTTGAATTTTTTTAGTTAATTTGGATATTTGCGTGTTTCAGCTTACAATCTGATTAAAAAAGTTATTTATTTGACGTGCGCAATCCTTTTGAACTGCGACTTTTTCACAGCATGTTCTGAAAATATAATTTGCATATTCATACAAACACACGCCCACACACACACATACACATACACATACATTTACATACATGTATAAAAATGTGTTTGTAACTCATAAAGCAGCCACAATGAAAGCATGTTAGACATTCGCATTGTCAGCCATTGCGTATGCGTGATATTTTAAATATATATGTATATATATGTATGTATGCTAAACATGTAAATGCCAGTGCATATGCATACGTAAGCCCAACCCGATGAACATGGCATGACAGCAACAACAATAATTAAACAACAACAACAACAACAAGAACATCACGCTTTATTATTAATCATAATGAAAATGTTTTGTTTCCACGCACTTTTCTTTTTGCTGCCGTGTTGCTGCTGGCCGCACTTCTCGTTTAATATCAAACAAAAACACAACGCAACACAAACAATGTCCTGCGCCAAACGCATTTAACGCCAACAATTAATTATAATAACAACTACCATGTGAACACCGTCAACAACAACATCAACAACAATCACTGATGAACCAATGCTGTCACATGCGGCGTATGCGCAATGTTTTCTGTTTCATTGAACGCTTGACCCGCCTGGCCGCCATTTGCAATTGTATGAAAATTGAAATCGAAATGAAAATGGATGAAAAATTGCTGGCCAAATGACGTAACATTACTCTAACAAAACCCACATACACATACATACACTCACACGCACACCCACAAATGTGTGTCTTTGTGTGTGTGGATTATTTATTTGCAAACGATATTGATACTTTATTGTGCACAATATGCGATACTTAATGACGTTTAATGGTCGCTTGCACTTTCGTCGGGCCATCGCCTAACGCTTAATGCAAAATCCAACCAATGCACATTTAATGCAATGCGAACGCTCAACCACAATAAAACAACAACTGCAACAACGATAACAACAACAACAACAATAACAATGGAAAATAGGTGGCTTTTTGGTTTAAGGTTGGTGTTTGGCTATTTTCTATCTTGAATGCACACACATATTATATATAAATTTATACATCCACTACATAAATAAATAGTAACAAATCATCTGAGGCGTTTTAGCTTTTAGTTTATTACATTAACTATGCGAATATTATAGCTAATTATTATAAATAATATCAGATGAAATATATACTGTGAATATTAATATATATTTATTAATTCAAAGCCACAACAATGCTTATATTCTTCTTAAACTATTTATATTTAAGTTAAACTCTTTTTTTTTTTAGACATTATCAACCACATCATATTCTGGTTAATTTTACCAAGTCCGAAATGGTTTATATTTGAGTTTATATACCATTATACTCAGTAGTTCAACAATTCACCTATCTAAGTATTTAGATAATTTTTATTGATTGAAACTATCAGTTATAAATTCTCACAAAACACTTTGTTATTTAAGTTCTTTTTCTTTAAATTTATTTCGGATACATTATCAAAATACTATTAGGCAATATTATGAAACACTTAACAAAGTGTTTATAATATTTCAACTGTTTTATTATGAACAGATTACCCTAGATTATGTTGCCTGTAGTATATATCAGTGGCCACCTGCCTACCATCGTCCCACTTGTTTATCACTCGGGTTATTTATTTAGTTGTTAATTTAAGTTTAATTTTAATTTACACGAATGCCCAAAGTCGCGACAGGCGAACAACTGAGCGAAAACACCTACGTAAATATTTATTCAAATTGTTGCGCATGTAACAGAATACACACATACACACATATACATACATACATACATTCGTACTGTATGTGTGTGCGTGCAGACAGTGAACTGGAGCCAACTGCACTCGGCTCCAGCTCCAGCACCAAACTATGAAATGTGTCAAGTACAGCAAACAGTTACAAATTTATGGCAGGCAGCACACGCGACCAGGACCCGCCCCCTTCCTCCCCAGCCCGCCTCGGCCCCAGCCACTGACCCCCGCTTGTCCTGCTGGTTGGCAGCCTGGACCGTTTGTAATTCAATTAAAATGCAAAGATTTTTAGCACTTCAGGCACAACAAATGGAGCGTGCAGATAGATAGAGAGAGAGAGAGAGAGAGAGAGAGACGGAAATAGAGAGTGGTGTAGTGTCTCCGTCTGCCAAGTCCACTTCTCACTGACAGTGGGCATCCAAGTGGTGTTGTTCATGTTTAATATACCCTATGTTTGTGGATTAAGAATGAGGACTATTAGTTCAAGTTCTTTCAGTAAAATAACTCTCTTATTGAATAGGAATTTTTGCCCTTAAAAAAGAAATCTTTTCTAAACACTCTTTTAAGGGTATTGCATAGTCAGATGTTTCATGTTAGACTTCTAAATTTTATACCTGCCCTTTGTGATTCTTGCTCTGCATTTGACAGTTACGTTTCGCCTGATAACAGCCATGACATCTGCTGTTATCAACAATATAATTTAGGCCAAAAATGGAAAAGCTCTTCTGGCCACGGCTGTCAGCCTTGTGAGTTATGCAAATGACAAAGTGAAACAACACAATTTACAGTAAGCCTCGCGGGCCAATAATGTTATTTTGAACAGGGCTCAGATCCCGTGCCTGGGCTTTGCTTGTGACACTCTGTTTATTTGTCGCTCATGAATGGCTTTACGATCAATTAACAATAAATTTGGTTGGGTGTTAATTTGCAACGGAATTTCGCCGAATTCGTGGAACAAAAGCGAAGCTCTGTTCGCAATGTTTTTTAACTGTTAATTGAATGCGCAATAAAATTGCGAATTATTTGATCCGGTTTATGAATATGAATATTCACAGTAATCGTAAATAACATTAGAGGTCAGCGTTAAGCGGCTGACCTATGCGAAGCCCTACAAATGACCTTGACTGTGAACGGTTTGGGTTTTTGTGGCCCGAATGTCAATGCGGTTTTTGTTAGCTGCTAGCGAAAATTGCATAAAGGTAAATAATTGGCCCAAACAAAAGCGCAAAGCGGAAAAAACAAGGCGAAGCGATTAAAGCGTGTGGGCTGTGGAGGAGGCGGGACCATTTACAGTTGGCACAATGGCAAATAATTGCTGTTATTTTGGCGTAGACAACAAAGCCAATAGCTGCCACAATGACTGTCAAACTGTTGTGGCGCGTTTTCAAACGCGCCAAAGTCGTTCGACTGTGTGTGTTGCTCGAGTGTGTGTTGATGTTTAGCTGCGGGCGTAAATTGAGCATCACAAGTTCAATTACACAAGCACATACACACATTAGCACACACTCACACACACATGTGAGCTGCCCTCCAACTAAATTTTTAATGGCTCTTTTTAGTTTATTTTTCTCTCTTTTATTTTTGCACAAATTTTTCCCATTTAAATTTGATGTTGGTTTTGGGTTGCTTTTCAATTTCCGACGCCCAACGCTTGTAAAGCCCGGTTCACGGCTCTTGTTGTTGTTTTTGAAACAACAATGAAGCATTTCCGGTTACCAGATAAGTGAGTGTGAGTGTATTCGAGTGTGTGTACATAGCCGAGTGTGAGTTGGCGAGCATTCTGTGGATTATTATTCATTAGTTTGCGTCAATTTGTTTTAAAATGTATATATACATATGTATATCTATATAAACATATCTATATATATTTATATCTATATAAACATATTTAAGATACGTACACATTTATGCAGAATTGTGCCACCAGCTAATGAATGCTGCAGCGGGCTTATGCTCGGCCCCGAAGCTAAGTTGAGATCTGTCTATGAACGGATATAGCAATAATAATAATAATATGAGCGCTTGAATGCCCGACCAGCATTAAAATAAACCACCGAGGCTGCCCAAGTAAAGAATTCCGCTGGAAATATAAATTTGCGTAAATTAATAAAAATATTCGTGTCAAATTTAACTTGGAGATAAATCCAAGGCGGGCTTAGATTTATGTAAATGTTGAGCTCAGTGGAGCAAACAAAACACATTGAATTTAATTACAGTCTTTTCATTGAATTAAAATTTATTTCTCATTTCAAACTAAAACTGATGATAAATTATAATAAATACTAATGTATAATATAACCAAATTGAGCAGGAAAGGTAAATTAATAGACGTTAAAGCTAAATGAATAAAATAGATATGTTAAAAAAATTTAACTGGAGGTTAAACTCTGAAAGAGTGCCATAATCATTAGTTGTTTTCCTAGAAATAAGAGAGAATAGAGAGAACTGACAATTATATTGAAATGTCAAACTTAATTTCGCTTTAAGTTAAAGCTAACCAATTATTATCATTAATATTGCCGATTTGAAGATTTCATAAATTTTCTCATGTGCTTACTAATCTTCTTTTTTTTTCGCATTCCTTCTAATTGCAGGTAAGACACGTCATCTTTAATTGAATGCTGAGTGTATTCGTTAATTGATTGCGATTGTGAGTACATGGTCGAGGGAGAAAGAGAGAGAATTCATAACGCGTTCGAATCAAGCTTGTGAAGACTTTCGACCCACGCAGCGCAGAGCTGAATGCCCGGTTTTATGGCACATTCATTGAGTGGAACGGAACATTTCAGGCCTATCGCATGTCCAGAGAGTGTCAAAAAGCGTGGGCAGCCCGAACACTTCATGGACTCATACAGAGAATTGAGAATTGAGACAGACAGACAGAGAGACACGGACAGACAGACAGACGCTGGTGTGACTGGGCTATGGATCGTTCTGTAACTGTTTACATTTGGCTTGCCTGGAAGACCCCCCACTGCTGCCCACTAATACCCACTGCAGCACGCAATGTTCGCTTCGTCTCCCACCTTCGGCTTGCCCTTTGCTCCCACACTCTCTCTCTCTCCTATGTGTGCTCCACTTCAGCTATTTTAATACCGTGCCAAAGCAGCAAATGACACCGAGCATGCTCTGCCCTCCACCCGCCACCCGCCACCCATCCTTCGGGGGCTTTGCTTGTGCTTGTTATTGTAGCCGTTGCGAATATGCCAGTAATTTAGTGGGCGTGTCCCGGCCCTAGTAGAAAACTTTGACGCCAGCTAAGTCCGCGGGCGTTGGCAACAGCCAAGCAGCGCGAGATGCTGGCCGAGGCAGGGGAATTGCTTTCGCGATATCTCTCGAGTTCATTGCTTGTAAAATTGACTTTAGCACAAGCGCATCCACCAACAGCAAACACAACAACTTTCAGCCGGCAGCTAAACAAGCCGCAGATACTTAGCCAGAGTTTTGCAGAGATGCCTTTCTTTTTAGCCTCCTTTTGCAGAGATAGATACCCACAGCATGTGTGTAGAAGCTGGCATATTAGTCCATACTCAAGGTGCTCAGAAATGGTATAGCTGAATGTTAGGTCTACCCTATTCCTGCCTAGATTTTTAGTTCCACTTTTTACTGCACCACTGCAGTCAATAGAATTTTGCATATTTATGGATGCGACAGGGCATCTGCCAGTTGACCAAACTCTTTGAACAGTCTTATGTTGTTTGAGTGCTGCGCATTTGGTTTGCTTACCTTTTGGCCTGGCAGTCAAAGCTTGGCCGCAATTTGTGCGCTGCGTTTTTCGACTTTGTTGCGGCTGCATTTTCGCAATTTTTCTAGCTCATTTGCCCAGACGCCAAATGTCCTTCAGCACACAGACAGACGTAGACTTGCTCTTAGTAGTCCCAGTTGCCGTCTCCAATGTGCGGCTTTGGTTATCTTTAGTCGTTGCTGCTGCTGCCACTTTGGCAAATTAAAGTGCGCGCAAAGCCCAAAGCGCAAAACCCGTTTGCTGGCCAGGCCGACGCGAGGCGCACGTGCAACAAGGCAACAAGGCAACATGGAAACGGGCAACTTGCAAGTGGCAAGAGGCAAGCGGCTGGCTGCAAGGCTGCATCTCAAGCTCAGGCCAGGCCAATTTGGCAATGCATGAAAAACAATCCAAAGATTTTTCTCTTAGTTTATTTTTTGGCTTTTTTGGTTTGGGTGCTCATTTCATTTGTTGCCGCTTGGTGGCATAATTTGCGCGCCAGCCGACGCCCCAAAAACGC